AAATTACAAAACCTGACTGAAAGGAATTAAGAAAGATCGAAACAGGTATCTGGTATTTATGAGTCAGAAACTTCAGTACTGTTAAGATGCATACTAGCCAGGCAGCAGTGGAGCACACCTGTGATCCCAGCACTCTGGGAGGCAGAGGCAGGCAGATCTCTGTGAGTTCAAGGCCAGCCTGGTTTACAAAGTGAGTCCAGAATAGCCAAGGCTACACAGAGAAACCCTGTGTGTGTGTGTGTGGGGGGGGGGGGGGGGTGAATACCAAACTCATCTGCAGATTTAATGCAACTACTACACAAACCCTGCAGCGTGGGGATGCAGCTCAGGAAAGCACACACCTATCACAGCAAGGCTCTGGAGTCAAGCCCCAGCATGTCTGCTGCCACTACCACCACCCTTGAGAGGCTTAAACAGAAGACCTGAAACCATCAATCTCCTAGCGGAAAAGGGGAGAAGGAATGCTTCATGACCCATCAATGGTTTCTTGAACACGACCCCAAAACACATATGCAATAAAAGCTAAAAATAGGCAAGTGAGACTATATCAAACTGAAAGGAGTCTACTAGGCAAAGAAAACAATCAGGTAAAATGTACCCCTACTGAATACAGCAGAAGACATGCAAACCACATCTGATGAGGAGAACATTGAAACTACAAGAGAAACTCCCACAACATTCCCACAAAGTAATACCTGGCTTTTTAAAAGAAGAAAGAGGGAGGGGAGCAGGGAGGAAGAAAGCTAGCTAGCTAGGGGTATGGCTTAGCAGCAAAGGAAAGGGGTGGCATGCCCAAGGCCTTTAGCATAATTTCCAGCAGCAGAGTAAGAAGGGACTAAGGCCCCCGGACAGATAGTTCTCCAAAAGCAATATACAAAAAAAAAAAAAAAAAACCAGAACTAGAAAAAGAGACCTGGAGGATAGCTTAGCCAGCAAACTACTTGACTTGTAAGCATAGGAACCTGAGTTCAAGCTCCAGAGTCTAGTAAGAACACTGGATGCTCAAAAGATGCTTATAGGCCAAGCACTGGGGAGGGAAGGCAGAAGAATACTGGACCTTAGTGGCCAGTTGGTCTAGCTCAGTTGTTGAGCTCCACGCCAAAAGAGAGACCCTGTGTAAAAGGAAAAAAGATGGTGTTTCTGCAATTGACACTGCAGACTACCCTCTGGCTCACACAGACACACGCACCTACAGGCATGCAAACATTTACACACATGCAGTAGAAAAAAACATGAAGGGGCCAGTGATGGCAGCGCACGCCTTCAGTCCCAGCCCTCGGGAGGCAGAGGCAGGCAGATCTGTGAATCTGAGGCCAGCCTGGTCTACAGAGAACACAGAGAAACCCTGTCTAGAAAAACAAAATAAAATTACACCCAACTACTACCTCACACCTATTAGGATGGTCATGATCCAAAGTGTAAAAATAAATGTTGAAAATGAAAAAACTGAAAACCCTATATGCCACTAATGAGAATGCAAAATAAAAGCTGTAGCCGAAGGCTTACAGAGGCTCTTCAAAGACAAAAATCATACTACAGTAACCCTACTTGAGGTTATTTATCCAAAAGAACTGAAATCAGTTCCTAGAGGTATTTACAACATTCTAAAAGTAACCAAATGAACACCAGCAGATAAGGAAAAAGGAAACGTGTAAGCCATAAGACAGCAGGAAAAGGCAGGAGCCACCAAGCCTGACAACCCGAGTTCCATTCCCGGAGTCCACGGAGTAGAAAAGAGTCATTCCTACAAATTGTCTCTAACCTACATAGGCAAGCATAGCACTTATGTGCCTACACATGGACACAAAATAAATTGATAAATAAATACATGTCATTTTGAAATATAAAGTATTGTATAAACATACAATGAAATATCCAGCACTAAACAGGGAGATTCAACATGGATAAAGCCTGAGAACAAAATGCTAAGTAAAGCCACAGATACCATAGGCAGGATCTAAAGTGACCACAAGAGAGAGCCAGTGTGCATGCAGGCTGCCAGGGGACAAGAAAGTAAAAGTGAGGAGTTATGCTACATAGGTCCAAAAGCTCAGAGATTAAAAAGTGAGAACCTGGGTAGGGCCAGGAGGAGAGGAGGAAGGAGGCTACAACCAGGATGTAAAATGAATAAATAAAAATTAATTCAAAACAAATAATTTGTAAGTGAAAAGCTTCTAACTCTGCTTTACAATGCTGCTTCTAGTTAATTTCATGCTCTAAATATAATTTTGAGGGCACAGGTCTCATAGTTGATATTTTTAAAACCAAAAAGTCTTAAATATTGTGCTTCAAAGATACCATCAAGAAAGTGAAGACAACCCTTACAGAGAAGTATGTACAAACCATATCACAATATCCAGAATATACAAAGACTGTGACCTCTGGTCACAAAGAAGTATGAGAGGGATCCCTCTCCAAATTCTGCAGCAGATATTTGCTGGGCATCTGTACTGCTTGGTTTTTTTGTCAACTTGACACAAACCTAAACATATCTGGAAAAAAGGAATCTTAATGGAGAAAATGCCTCCATAAAATTGGCTTGTGGGGAGTTGGAGAGATGGCTCAGAGGTTAAGAGCACTGACTGCTGTTCCAGAGGTCCTGAGTTCAATTCCCAGCAACCACATGGTGGCTCGCAACCATCTATAATGAGATCTGGTGTGCAGATACACACAGAGACAACATTGTATACATAATTAAAAAATAAATAACTCTTAAAAAAAAAAAAAAGATTGGCTTGTGGAGCAAGTCTGTGGGATACTATCTTGATTAATGACTATTAGTCACAGGGAAGGTGCCCCCTTGGCAATTGGCCCAAGACTGTAAGAAAGCAGGACGAGCAAGCCATGAGGAGCAAGTAAGCAGCACTCCTCCATGGTCTCTGCTTCAGTTCCTGCCTCCAGGTACCTGCCTTGAGTTCCTGCCCTGACTTCCCTCACTGATAGGGTGGGTTCTTTCCTCCACAGGTTGTTCTTGGTCATGGTGTTTCATCATAGCAATAGAAACTCAAAGACACTAGCGTTTAAAGCAACTCAAATCATTTGCTTCACTGCAAATGTCAATTATGTACCCCCAGGTTGGTTGTCTTAAGATTTGTGACTAGCCTGCTATAAATCAGGATTCTCATGAACCCCACCTTGGTCCAGCTAATTTGATAGAACTTCTCATAGAACTCTGGAATACACAATTATTGGCCTACTACAGAGGATATGCAGAAGACATCAATAAACATCAGAGGAGACACATATGCCTAAGGAATGCGGGGAGAATGGCCTTGCTTCCATGCCCTCTCCAGCACAATATGCTCCAGGGACCTCCTCCACAAGCTGAGCTATTCAGAAGCTCCTCAAACTCAATTCTCTGGTGTTCAAAAGGAGGCCTCACTAATTAAGTATAAATTATTATACCGCTGTCCAATGATCGTCTTCTCAACCTTTGTTCTTCCCCTCACTTGGAACCCTCAAATCATACCTAGTTCTTTTCTGTGACTGCTCTCCACTGTGAAGCTATCCAGGAGGCTACAGCTCACTATACCCAATAAAAAATAAAAATAGAAATAGAAAATTTTAAAAAGCCTACTCCTTAGAGTCCAAGCATTTTAGGAGTTACATGCCAGGAAATGGATAAAGACCAAACATACATTTTACAATGTCACATCATTAAATAATGCTTTACGCCCACAAAGAATGCTTTAATCAAAAAGGCTGTTACCAGCCTGGCATAATAGAACATCCCTATCACCTCAGCACTACAGAAGCTGGAGTAAGAAGACCCTAAACTGAATTCAGTCAGGGCTACTCAGCAAAGAGCAAGAACTACTTAGCTGGGGGGTTACAATATTACCTTCAGGTGATATTGGTAAGAGTTCACACATTGCTGATGGAAAAGTAAAATAGTAAAGCCACTTTGGAAAAGTCTGCAATTTCTTAACTGATTAAACACTGAGGTGGTACAATACTCAGCAATTCCACTGCTAGGCATATATACAAGAAAACTGAAAGCAAAGTCTTAGAACAAAAATATGGGCTAGTCATGCAGTTCAGTTGTGCAGAACCTGTTTAAACCTCCATTTAAAAAAAAAAAAATCCTCTTTTCAGCAGAGGATGGTAGTCCAAGCCTTTAATCCCAGAAGAAGCAGGTGGGTGGGTCTCTGTGAGTTCAAGCCCATCCTCACCTACATAGTCAAGCCAGTCAAGGCTACATAGTGAGACCCTATCTCAGGGAAAAAAAGAAAGGAAGGAAGGAGTGAGGAAGGGACACAGGGAGGATGGACAAAGAGAGAGAGACAGAAAGACAGAGAGAGAAAGGGAGAGGGGGAGAGAGGGAGAGAGGAGGCAGCCTGGGGAACATGGCTCAGCAATCAAAGTACTTACAGAGGTCAGATCCCCAGAACCCACATTAAACACATAAACAAGTGGTGGGCATAGTGGCTCATCTGTAATTTCAGCCTCAAAAAAAAAAAAAAAAAAAAAAAAAAAGAGGGGGGAAAGGGGCCCACAAGAAAAATGAAAGAAAAAAAAAAAAAAAAAAAAAAAAAACAGAGACTGGAGACAGGGTCCCAGAGCAAGCTGGCTAAGGAGACTAGTGAGCTCCAGGATTGACTGAGAGAACTTGCCTACATTAAGATAGAAGACTGCTCAGGAAGATCACAGATATGAACCTTGAGACTCAGCTCACAAATGTGCCCACTATCATGCAAATGTGCATACACATACAGCATACATAAAGAAAAAAATTATTTTTAAAATGGACACGAATGGCAACATGGTAGGGAAAGGGAGGGAGCACCCCAACAGAGAAACGGAAAAGAGCAGGAGAGAAGGAGAAAGCAAGAGAGGAAGAGGAAAAGAGAGAGAGAGAGAGAGAGGGAGGGAGGGAGTGACAGACTGGACACTAAGCACCTGGGCTAGATGATGTCACAGGACACAGGTACTGATAGGATGCTATCAAGACCCCACAGGCAGGCCAGTTGATTGCCTGCATAACCTAAATTACTACTAACCCATTAAAAAGCAATCAGCTGGGGCTGGAGAGACGGCGCAGAGGCTAAGAGCAAAAGCTGCTCTTCCAAAGGTCCTGAGTTCAATTTCCAGCAGCCACAGGGTAGCTCATAACCACCTATAATTAGATCAGGTACCCTCTTCTGGTATGCAGGCAGAATCCTGTATAAATAATAAATAAATAAATCTTTAAAAAAAGAAAAAGTTACTCAGTTACTGACACATCCCATATCATTTAAGAGAGTAATAACCAAAACAGGCCACAGAAAACCATCCACGTTATGATTCCATTAAAATGTTCAAAACAGCCGGGCAATGGTGGTACGCACCTTTAATGCCAGCACTCAGAAAGCAAAGGCAGGTGAATCTCTGAGTTCCAGGCTAGACTGGTCTGTAGAACAAGTTCCAGACAGCCAGGGCATGCATGCATAAATAAATGAATGAGTGAATGAAATGTTATGTTTGAAGCAGGCAAACTCCTAGAAACAGAAAGAGTAGCGACTTCTGAAGAGGCTGAGAGGAAGGAGAATTACAAACAGTTTCTTTTTAAGATAGTGAAAATACTGTAAAAACTTTACACGTGAAATATTCTAAAATTGATTTTGGCAATAGCCACATAGCTCTGTGAATATACTAAAAGCCATATCACTGTTTCATTTATTTTGGGTTTTTGTTTGTTCGTTCGTTTGTTTTTCGGAGACAAGGTTTCTCTGTGTAGCTTTGGCTGTCCTGGACTTGCTTTGTAGACCAGGCTGGCCTTGAATTCAGAGACCTGCTGCCTGCCTCTGCCTCCCCAGGCTGGGATTACAGGCATGCAGCACAGGGCCCAGCTATCACTCTGTTTTAAGTAGATTAATTACATAGCATGCTAGACTACCTCAAATATGTTTAAAGAAAACTCAATGGTCCCTAGAATGTGTTTCAAAAATTACAGGAAAGATATAAACAGGAATTGCTCGTCACTGATTCCAAGTCTACATAATAGGTCGGGCAGTGGGGGCGCACGCCTTTAATCCCAGCAGGCGGAGCTCTGTGAGTGTGAGGACAGCCTGCTCCACAGAGTGAGTTCCAGGACAGCCAGGGCTGCACAGAGAAACCCTGCCTCAAATGAACAAAAAAAAAAAAAAAAAAAGGAAAAAAGAAAAGAAAAGAGAAAAAACAAAACAAAAATGGTCTTAAAAAAGGAAAACTATGAAGAATTCTCAAAACTCAGCTCTCACGGCTTTGGGGGGGGGCGGTGAGGCCAAGCACTGCAGTTTGTAATTTGTAATAAAAAGAGCCTTATGTGTAAAAAAATAAATAAATAAATTCCTAAAACTCAACAGTAAATAAGCAAATAATTCTGACTGAACAAAACGTATCAAGCATTTCACCAAAAAATAAAAAATCTGAGCAGAATAAAAACACAAAAAAATGATCAAAACCATTAGCCATCACAGCAAGTAACTAAACACACACTTGGCAAAACACAACTCAACAATCTTATCACTGGACATTTATTTCAGAAAAGCAAAGGAAAACTTTTATTTACACAAAATTTTCACACTTCCTGCATAGTTTTTTCACTAGCCCCTGGTTTACAATGGAAAATTCTGACCATCACTCACCCAGGGCTCAGGTATGCTGGGCAGTGAAGAGCACTGACTGTGTAAGCACAGAGTTCGAATCTCCAGAGCTCACAGAGAAAGCCAGGTGTGCCTGTAATCCCAGCACAGTGAGGGGTGGAGGAAGGACTGCTGGCCACCAGCCTAGCTCCAGGCTCAGCAAGAGACCCTGTCTCACCAAAACGGACAGAGTAACAAGAGCAAGAGCGCTGGTCCTCTGCCGCCGCCGCCGCCCCCCCCCCCCCACACCACAGGCAAGGAGTCCTTCAACAGGTGAAAGGTCACACAAAGAATCTCTCTTTAACTCATGGTTACACACCATTCTGGAAATGGAAAAAACACAGAGCTAGGAACCAGGCTGCCAGGAGTCAGGGAGCAAGCTTGTGAAGGGACTACCACAGGGTGTGGCAAGAGGGGTGGCCTTTGTGGCAACTCGAGTTTTTATCTTCATTGTAGTGGCTACGTAAATTTCAACATGAGAAAATGGCACAAAATTATACATACACAATTAGTATGGGTCTAAAAACTGTAAAACCTACAAATTTAGGAGTCTTATTAACGGTAAGATACCACTGCCAACTTTTCTGGGTTTGGTAACTTACAAGATGTCTGAATGAAGGAAGCACAGCATTCCTTCTGTTTTTGTTTTTGAGGCAGGGTCTCATTTTGTAGCCCTGGCTGGTATGGAAATTGCTGTGTACACCAGGGCGGCCTCAAACTCACAGAGATATGTCTACTTTGCCTCCTGGTTGCTGGAATTAAAGGTGTGTACCACCACACCCAGTTGCACAGCCTTCTACACTAATTTTGACACTTCCTATAATTTTTCAAAAAGTTAATTCTAAAAATAGCAAAAGTCATGGGGCCAGCAGGCTTGGCAAGTAAAGGTACTTGCTGCCAAGCCTAGGGAGTGATCCTTGGGATCCAAATGGTAGAGAGAGAGATCTGACTCCTACGAGCTGTCCTTTGACCTCAGCAGGTAAAGCAAACCTGTTTTTAAATTGTGAATGGTCTTTTTTCCCCCTTTAGTGTAGATAGTGAGGGGTTGGGGACGAGGACTCTGAGAACAAAGTACTTTCCACATAAACATGAGTACCTGAGTCTGGGTCCCCAGGTTGCTGGTGCACATTTGCAATCTCAGGGCCGAGAAGGCACATCCCCAGAGGGCACTGACAGCCAGCCCAGACAAATTATTTTGCTTTTTCAAGACAGGGTTTCTCTGTGTAGCCTCTACTATCCTGGATTCCATTTGTAGACCGGACTGGTCTCAAACTCACAGAGCTCCTCCTGTCTCTATCTCCCGAGGTGGGATCACAGGCATGTGCTATCATGCCCAGCCTCAGCCTAAAAAAATTCAATGAAAGACCTTGTGTCAAAGTGTAAGGGAGAGCTCACAGAAGGTACCATGTGTGTGCCCATACAAATTATTAAAAGGAAATATTGAAAACTGCACAATTACAATTCACTGAAGAATTCAGCAAATGAAAATGAATATGAAAAAGTAACAATAATTATATGAACAGTGAAAAAAATACTTCTTGATATGCAGGTGCTTAAATTTTTTAATTTGATTAATTATGTCAAGACAATATTCTTTCCCTTAGTGATGATCTTAAGTAATTTCAATAAAAGACATAAATTTAAACTATAGCTGTAGTGGTACACCCCTTTAATCCCAAAACTAGGGAGGCAGAGGCAGAGGGATATATATCTACATTGATTGCAACATGGTCTACAGAGTGAGTTCCAGGACAGCCAAGACTGTTACAAAGAGAAACCCTGTCTCAAAACACCAAAAAAGACCACTCCCCAAATGCTGTTGTGTGGCCAATGTGGAAATGAGAATAACAGCACTCTAAGCTGGGAGGAGCGACTGGAGAGATGGTCCCACAGTTAAGAGAAGCTGCTACTCTCCCAGAAGACCCAGGGTCAATTTCCAGCACCCACATGGCAGTTCACGATCAGCTGTAACTGCAGTTCAGGAGATCTTGCACTCTTGCCTCTGGCTTCCTGCACTCTGACATGCATGCAGGCAAAACACCCAGACATATTAAAATTTAAATTTTTTTTAAACTAAAAGTCTTCAATATTCTTAAAAGCTGTGAGAGAAAGTCACAAATATTTCTATCTGTACCTTGTTAAGCATCCTCAATAAAGAGGTCCAAAGGTTTTATTTCCTTTTTTATTTTGAGACAGTCTGGCTATGTAGCCCAGACTCACCTAGAAGGGGTGATCCTCCTGCCTCAAACCTCCTGAGTTCTGGCATCACGGGCCTGTCAATAGCCAGGCAGGCAAGTGTTAAACTGAGATTACTATTAACACAATTCCTCTTCTCCCTGGCATTTTTAAAAGGCTAAGCATTCAAGTTACTTACTTGTAACCACTGAGACTATCTACATGAAAAACACACCCAGCCAGTTAAATGCCACAAGCATCTACATCGATCTATTTAACCAAATACAAATGCAGCACAAATCCCATAAAAGGAACTAACACTGAGGACTATTCAAGGCCCTTGTGTGTGTGTGTGTGTGTTTTAAAAAGCCAAATAAATTCCATGCAAATGCATTACACTTAAGCTTACACATTTCAACAATAAACTAAACATTGCCATATTCATTTTCTGAGTTTTTTAGTGCTTGCTATAAAACTAACCCGGCCATATTTCCGCCCAAACAGATAAATAGCCAGTTTCATTGGTCTATTCTTGGATAGGTCACCAGACTGGGAATAAGAGACCCAGAGTCTATTCCCAGCTGCAAAACACCACCAGTAATCTCAAACATTATTCTCTCAGGCTGAGGTTTCTACACGCATACTATGCTGGTAATACTATCCAGAAATGCAGAGGAAAGTGGGGACTGCCCTGGACACCCAAAAGACAATTGCAAACATATTTTTAGGTTAGTTCTAGAATTCTGTATAACTTATTTAGAGTAACATTTAACACACTTGAAATTTCAAAACCATGTGGTACTGCTATCATTGTTCTCCACAAAATTACGGAGTCTTTTTAAAATCATGTCCGATTTTAAGGTTCCATATGAGAAACTGAACGTCACAATTATTATATAAAAGACTTAAATGCAAGCGGGAGGGGAGAGCTTCCAGTTTGTTTCCTAACTTTAGCTCTGCATCTACTACACCCCTGTCACTGAGAAGTCCTTCGCAGTCTGGAGAGCAAAAGTTTGCCCCACAGCCTAACCCTGGAAAGGCCTCGGAGCTTTCTCACCACTAGCCATGCAGGTCTTACTAGCACAGTCAACATAAGGACTGCGGCACACACATTCTGCCTAAGTCTAAGGTTTAAACAAAGTTGTCTTGTAGAACGAGTTCCAGCCTGACCTTCTCACGAACCACAAAGCTGCGAGCACAGCGCAGCCAACAGGAGAAGCAGCAGCCCCGGGCCCCCGGCAGTCCTACAGCAACAAACACTGCACCGAGGCACACAGACAGAGTGGCCCCAGCGCGCAGCCGATCCGGAAGCAGCGCAGAGCCCTCGGGCGCACGCGCTCCACACAAAAGGCTCCTCCTCCTGGCTCACTTGACCGCCGCCAA